TGCCACCTTTATTTTATAAAATCATTTAGTCTTTATGATTTATACTTGTCTAGGATATGAAATCTTTGCTCTTGGCACAAAGTGAATGTTCTCCTATGTGACCTTGACCTTGGAGCACTGGACATTACTGTGCACAAATGTTTTTTGCAGTTAAGCCTTGCATGCAAAACAAATTCCTTAGAATATTTGAATTTTTACATATATTGTTTGAATTTATTTTTTATAGGTAAACAGAAAATCCTAATTTAAAAAATGAAAAGTGGGATATGTCTAATAATGATTGCATTTATATTCTTACATTATTTCTATACATTAATGAAGCAAAAGATTTAAAACAAGGCATATTATATCTCATTGCCACTGGCATACAAAAATTTAAAATGCTTTATCTGTGTTCACTATTTCTAAACCTTATATAATACGTAGATTAACCAGCATTGTGCATTTTACATTCATAGAACAAAACAGTAAATAATACGCATAGTGTAAGTAACAGTAAATAACACTCATTTTTATAAGAATGTAACTACCATTTCACTATCTTTTTTCCTGCATTTTGAAAGAAAAAAAAAAAAGAAAAATTTCAGATTTTATGTCCAAAGAGGCTTTTTTTAACATTTTGTGTGTTACCTTTATTTATTAAATATCATGTTCTTTGCACTTAAACCATAAAATTCAGTTAAAGAGCAATATTGTAAAAAATTTTTTTAATTAGCATATCTTTAGAATTTTCCGATCCGTGGTCTCGCGCGCTGGAGATAAAAATGTTTTTTCTGTACAAACTGCCATTGCTCGCTTTGAAATCCCTGAGCTTGTTAAAGTTTTACAAAGTATGAAATCGATAATAAAACAAATTTCAAATTTAGGCTTCCAGATGCCCATATTTGGGTGGAAGCGTTCAATATTAAATATCTGATGGCTCTAGGTACCATTGTTTTATTACAATGCGAGAAACATACATACATTTCTGCAGATTCTTATTTAATTTCTTTAAATATAATACAGGGCGATAATATTTGGTGGCAACAATTTGAAAAGTGAAACAATGCTTTTAGTGAATCAACACAAAATGCCAAAACAAAATTAATAGTCCTTCTGGACAAATTACCCCTTTGGACTAATAATTAAAATTTTGAACTTTTCTTCTACAGAACAACAAGTAGTGGATCATTTTCAGATTTGCAGGATTGGAAACATTGAAAGATCCTGGAATTTGGCAAAATGATACAGTAAAAAACAGCATGATGCTGCTTAAATTTCTATTTAAGAGACTTTATGCTATACCTAGTTTGTAAAGAAAATAACCATGTTATTGCTATTTTAGGTGTAATAACATTAAGTAATAATTTTGGCTGGCATATGCTCTAAGAAATTTGTGTGTTAAATAAGTTCCTATTTAAGTTCATTATATTCATAATTTATATATGTTACTTATTTATCTAAATAAAGAGCAGTCTGTATTTTTATACATTCTTGTATATGTCAAGTACCTTGCCATTGGGATGGGGGAAGAGCAGTCTGTTCCTTCACATTTTTGTCAAAATAATTGGGGCAATTTTAGCAGTTTCTCAGCCAAGTTTCATGGTCAACAGGAAAGTACATAAGTACCCTTTATTTATTAATTTGAGCATAAAAATTTCTTTCATCTACTTGCTAAAAATGAAAGGTTTTAGAAAAGCAATATTGCTTTTTATAATTGAAATATATTTAATCAATTATACTATGTATTCTTCTATGTTAGAGTTATTCGAAATCCAAAGTAAACTAAGGTTGATCTTATCTCTAATTATGAATGGTTGGCTAAAATCAAAAACAGCCCACCATCTGTCAAGCGTTCCGTCCCGGGGAGCAGGCTGGCTGCAAGGGTTTTTTCATAGTTTAAAAACTACATAAATTCATAGTATAATATTCAAAATACATTGTAATGCATATGAATATAGTGAAGTCAAAGTATATGAATATAAGTCATTTAAAAAATAGTGCACAAGGTGACACCACTGCAAAGTGGGTGTACAGTCAGAATAAAATTTGTACCTGAAATATTAACTTGAAATATGATGGAAATTCCAAATTTGAACAATAAGAGTGAAGTTTTATGAGCTAAGTGCACCAACACATCAGAATAAATGATATGATCAGGTAGGAGGAAAGAAGTTAAGGAAGATTCAGTCAAATTCCTTCTAAAATTTCATACTGAAGAAGTATTCAGATAGATATCTGAATCGAGCTTTTACTAATCACACAGACATTTTCCAATGTATTAAGGAACATTTAACATAAAATATTATAGAAATTCATATTGTTGGTTGGATGTTACTGATATTTTCCATTTCAAAGCACACTGAGAAAATATCTTCCAGTGCTAATAAAAACTAATGATCCCAAAAAACATCTAAGTATGGACTACACAAGAAAAGGATGTCTTCTTAATTGGCTCGACAGCCCAGGGTGGTCCCTGGAGAGGCAAATAAATATCGACAAAAGAATTGTGACATCTGAGGTTGGCTAGAAAGGAAGAAATTTTTTGAGCAATATGTGAAGAAATATCATTAGCTACTAAAATTTCACCGGCATAAGTATACCATATTTTGAGAACTTTGTAAAAAGAAACGTTTGTATTCAATACATTTTTCACTGCTTAATGCAACATTATTGAGACAAGAATTGATTATGAATGTGAAAGATGTCTACCTTGAAAATCACTTTGACAAAATTCTGAGTAGATTAAAAATTTTGAACCAAATTTGAAATATCTGCCAATCTAGCACGGAAGTTCATCCTCCTTGCAATCCCCCAAATTTGAATGGCATAAATAAGGATCACAGCTGGCATAAATAAGGATCAGAGGTACCAATAATCATCAAGATTTACCAGATTTTTTAAATTCTTCTCAAATCAAAACAGTCCCTGCATGGACACCATTTTCAGTGACTACTGAATAATAACTTCAAGTGACAAGAAATCTTCTGAGGTGGATCACAGCTATCGAGAAACAAGGGACTACGAAGAAGTACTATTAGGAAAGCTGTAATAAAGCAAATCTAAGGGAAAAAAATTGAGTGAATTATTTTTAAATGATTTTTGCATTTATCTTTTCTGCTGCTTTGTCATTATCTACTCTAAAGGCAATGTGCCCATAGAAATAATTTACAGAAAGGAAATTATCTACCTTTTTGTTTGATGATTAGCAATGATCAGTTTGAGAGCATTTAAATTAGTCACATACAGTATATTTTGTAATTTAAGAGACTAAATTATTGATCAATAAAGAAATGTGTCTTTGCACTATTTCTGTTTAAAAATATATTTTATATTATTTAAATTTTGAGTATAAGGGATCAAAAAGGTCACATGCAAGCTGCAGTTTGGCCAAATAAATTTTGGGAAAGTAATTTTTATTATTTACACACACACAAATATATATAATTACAATACTTTTTTTAAAATCTAATATAATCATGCCTAGTATTTTTTCCCATTAAGCTACTGAAAAATATTAGAAAATACATAAAGTAAGAAATCTAGAACCAATTTTATAAAGACCTATATATAGATATATTATTTGTTTTAATTTACTCTGATTCAGAAGGGATTTCCAGGCTAATGTTTCATGTTGCTTGATTTGAGCTTCTTCGTGTTGGGTAGCTTCCACTTTAGATAGATTAATATTGTATTCTATATATATATAAATAAAATTCAAATTTTCATTTTTAATGGCTCCTTTATTTATTTTTCCCCCTATCCCACAAATAGTATCTTTATATCTTTTATATATCTTTCTGGGCTGCATCATTTAAAAATTGATCATTGTAATATAAATCTTATATAACATTCGTATTGCATATCCTACTTTACATAACGGCGAAAGATATTTTATCCAATAGTAATGTTAAATTTTGCAAAGCAAAACTTTAATGAAGCAATAGAAAAAAGTCGAACTATTCTTCACTAACATCCATATGGCAATATATGCACTTTTCACTTGTTTGCCTTTATGCTGCTAACATCACATCTGTTCCTTCAGTTTTATTTCTTCAATTGCTTTATCATGGTTATTCAGTTCCTTTACCATGGTTTATTCAAAATATTTCAATAAATATGATCTATAAAGATTCATTTTTGCAGCATCTATGTCACCATCAAGAAATATGATTACAAATTAGTATCCCTCTCAATTTCTCTCTACTGATAACATGTAGTCCACAGCTTCTCTTTCTTACTTCAAATAGACTGTTATAAATGAGTAAAATAATTTTAAAATTTCTGAAAAAATTAAATACCATATTGTTATAAAAATGAATGTAATTACTGAAAATGAGGCATAGATTTGTGCCAACTGAGTTATGTTTATTTTATGCAAGAATGCTTTGTTATGAATAAAAAGGCCATAACTTCAATTACAAATTCGTGAAACAGCTTCATTTACATCGGCACAAAAAATTATCCCTACGTATATATATATATATATATACATACACACACACCAATAATTCATAATAATTTATAATAAGAAAACTTTCCATACACCATCTCTCCAAGGAACACAAATTCAATTTAAAACCACGAATGAAAAACATTTTAGTCAATTTAAGTTAATATTTTAAAAGTAAAGACTGCTTTCTCCCTCTACTGCTATAAGACCTTTGCTGCCACTCTTCCCATCTGTCTTCCTTTGTTTGAACAATATGATGCAGTAAATTTAAAGTTAATCCTATTTAGTTTAAATTACTACTGCATATGCAATCTTGGAGAATCTAAAAGAATAATGATTTGCCATTTGAATTGAATGAAGATGTGGAATCAAAACAGCTATCTTCTTCTCCGTCATCATTTGGATACCACTTTACATTCCCAGCCACGATGACTGCAAGCTAATTACTCTTCTGTATTCCAAAATATTACATATATATATATATATATACAGTGTACTGATAACATGATAATTGAACTCAATATGTTTAAAACCACGAAATTAGATTTTTGAGTAAAAAAGGAAATGATTTAAAACCTCAAATTCAAAAGTTTATTTCAAGTACAAAATCTTAACAACTATTTACAAATAGAATAACATTTGAATAATCATCAAATCACATAATTTAAATAGTTAATCACAATATTCTTTGGTGTGTCTGAATAACTATTTGAACATGATCTATGATTTAAATGCACGTACAACACGTACAATAATTTGACGGCAAATTGGACAATCATGCAAAAGTTTGCCACACTGTGTACAAGTCACCATATGACCACAATCAAGAAACAAAGAGTCAATCGTAGATTCCATGCAGATTTTACACAAATTCTCATCAGGAACAATATCTAAAAAGATAAAAAAAAAAAAAAAAAAAATTGAATCTTTTAAATAGTATTTGGATAATTTTTACAACTTAATTTAAAACAAATACTTAATTTATTGCATAAATATATGTAGTACAAAAGAAATTACAAATTAGTTTCCAATAACTCATTTGTTAGTTGGAAGCAATATGTTGAAATGAAGATGACTGATGGTATACAATACTATAAATTGGTTTCATAATATTAAAATAAATCATAGTATATCAATAAAAAATGGTATTTAATATTTCTGTAGAATTAGCCAAAACAACAACCTTAGTACAGATTTTAAGTAAAACTCTATCGATTTCAAGAGTGGTGCGAGTAACTTTAACATGTAAATTTCTAAATAAAAAATACAGATTACACATATAATAGCTTAACCAGCAAATAAGTTAAATATTTAGTAAAATTTTGAGCATTACATGCCCAAATTTTATGATCTGCTTGCAGGGTTGGCATTAATTTTATGATCTGCTTGCAGAGTTGGCAACCACAGCAGACTGTACCGACTCTGGAGTGCCCCAGCAAACTGCATTTGCTCTGGCACCAATTCTGTCTGCATATATATAGTAACAGAAGTAAGTAATGCACAAACTTACTAAAACATTCTAATGTGAATGGCAAGAAATTAGCCTTTTTTTACCTCAATCATTTACAATTTATCAGTTTTCATAAGCAATATAATACTTTATTACCAAGTTAAGACCACTGGCTATTTTCCTAATTTTAGGAGCTTTATTTAAGTGTTATAGAATAGATGTTGAATGAAAATTAATATAGCTATAACTATAAATGAATTAAGAAATAAATGAGTTAAACAGATTAAGGTATAGGATTATGCAATAGGTGTGTATAAAATATTAAAAATGTACATAATTTCAGTTTTGAATTTAGGAGATGTCACTTAAAGATCACAATAAGTTAAGTCTATCTCCTCACTTAATAAATTGAAAATTCATAATACAATTGCATACATTATCTTCAAGATAGTTAATGGTCAAACACACAGATCAGTAGTCTACAAATTTAACAATAATTTTTTTCCTTACCTAAATATGCAAATAAACTTCTTAACAAAAACTTCACAATATATTTTGATTGAAGAAGCACATTTAGTTTATTACTGAAGTCAGCATTTTCTGCATATGCATCAGATCTAGTATTTTCATTTTAGGTAAATCATTATGTTTGAGTGTATTCGTCTTTCAAAATTAATTTCCAATTTATATGGTTAACATATTATAGAATTTATTTATCCAAAACTTTACAGATATTGAGTTCCCCCTCAAATGCACCTCTCATAGCTGGTTTATTTACATTCCCTGCAATAAATCACACTTGTTTACACTACAGGCAAAGAGAAATAATGGTTAATCTTTGGATTATGGTAACTTGGCAATTTTTTGGCGACCAGCCCTGCTACAGCAACCTGCAGGTTCTTTTTTGGACGCCATTTTGTTTTCACAAAGGTTTTTTTTTTTTTTTTTTTTTTTCTACTCAACATTTTTTTCCAACCATCTGCTAGCCGAATTATGCTTATGCTAGAACTTTTATGGAACAAAAGTGCTTAATCATGATGAAGATTAGGTGCGAAATTAGGAGAGAGTGCAGAATCGCCCACTGCTTGCCGCGTTTTTAAGAATTGCACATACACGGTATCCATGTACACGTCTACCTATTTTCACTTTAAAAAAATCCCAGAATTGCACAAAAATGGCATTGCGCACACTCTTGACTTTATCCATGTACACTGCTAAAGTCCTAGCTAGTAACCTTTATCGCCTTACCAAAATGTCGCCAAACTACCTGTTACCATATTCCAAAGATTAGCCAAAATAATTCTTAAAAATAGTCCCTTGCAAAATGCCATTAAAAATTGAAAACATGATAACAAGAGATGAAAAACAGCAATTTTCTTTTAATAAGTCTAAACTTTTAATTTTAGCACATTCAATAAGTTGCTAGTAACATTATTAATCCAGCTGAACATGTGTGGAATGTAGTGGTGAACTAGTGTAAGGATTCAATTTAGGGAAAACAATACTGCTGGAGATTTATAAATAGCATATTTATTCATTTTTAATTTTTTTCTTCTCTCATTTAAAAGCATTAAAATTACTTTGAAAATAATTTAAGTACATACAGTTGCTTTCACCTACCTCTTTTCCATAAATTACTTCAATGCATTTCCACAAAAAAGTTCATCATTTAACTTAAAACCATTATTTTGTAATCTAACTTCTAAGGATGGAAATATCATTCCAGCTCAACTATTCAATAATTTTTCATTAAGGTACACTTAAAACCTTTAACAAAATTAACAAATTTTAATTATTATTAATTTCAATGGTAATTTCAGTACTCATGCATTATAGTGTAGCAAGAAAGTGGCTGAAAATCATATTTTCATACATATTAATCTAGCAAAAATAATACAATTTAATACATATTAATGCTCAAAGAACTTACAAAAAATTTTAATTAAAATACTTAGAAAAGTGGTTTTTTTTTTTTTTTTTTTTTTTTAAATCATTATTCAAAATACATAAAAAAAAAAAAGATTTTCAAATAAAATTACCTTTAGATTTAGCTGCTTCTTTTAATTTCCAAAGCCAACACACTTTTTCCTGCAATTCGGATTTTTCACAGCAGCCTCGGAATGAAATAAAGTTTCTTGTTAATAAAAGCTTTAATTCCATTGTTGAAAGTTCAAAAATTTTTTCAACACTGTCAACACATTCTAAGTCAATAATCTGATGTTTCTAAAAACAAGTGAGAAAAGCAATTGGTTAAAATAAAATTATAATTGAAGGTTTTGTGATAATTAACAAAAAAAGTTACAAATATTACTGAAACACCACATTTCATAAAAGTTGGCATAATATAAGATTCCATTAAGAGATCTTAAAGAACCTTTATGCAGTCCAACTAGGCGTAAAGCCATCTTCAAGACAAATATAAAATTCCTTGGTTTTAAATCTCTGTAAATGTTCCAAATGCATACCAGACTGCAAAACTTAAGCCACTTTCTGTACATCTTTTATGGTCTTGATATTCTGAATAAGCCCTTCTGAGAAGATAGATCATCAAGTGTTTTGATTATAACAGATGCAGCAAAAGAACTCAATTTAGGAAGGTAATTAAACCAAACCAAATAAGATTTGAAAATTTTCATTTTATTCTTGGAAATTACGATAATGGGATTTTACGTCAATAAGTTTTTTATTTTAACAAAACATTACTCATGTGGTGGCCTCCATTGTTTCTGCACTAATTCAGACTCTCCCGAGAGTTATGTCAGTCGGCAAAATTATCGTCAAGAGCTTTCATGAAATGCAAGATTAAAGTCTCGGTAATATTAAATGGCACTTAATCTATCACTCTCATGAGTTTCTTATCGCTAATATAGAATTTCATCCCAGAAAGTAAAGCAAATCTCACAGTACCCGTTATACCTTTCTTATCAAATTAAATGCTAATATATATTGTTAAATAGTCACTTGCTGATTACTTTCATTAACAGCAACTACATTTCTATATTTATAAATCCTTTAGCTAATTGGTTATCTCTCTCTCTCTCCTTTCCCCCCCCTTAATACTTACATATTATGCCATGGACTGTGAAAATTGAAAGATTCCATCAAAATTGTACCAATCATTCCCACAGAATTCTGAAGAAACTGACACTTCTTTATTTAAGAATCTGCACCAGATTTTACCAGAAGCTCTGTTTAGAAAGATATGAGTACAAGCTTCCTGTAGATAATCTTTCCAACCTATTGTTTTGCCAGCCATATCCAGCTGTTCTTTTCCCATTCAACAGATGTTAGTTCTCTTTCTTGTAAATGAACTATAGTGCACTCACAAATGTGATTCTACAGCCTTGAACCATGTTCCTTTTTGCAATGATAGTCTCTTGTCACAATTTTTGATTGCTGCACAGTCTATGCATTTTCAAATGAAGTACCTAATTATGTCCCTTAATACACACTTTTTTGTATGGTGCGATACCATAACTTTGAAAATAATCCACTGCTTGCTGTTCTGTAGTTTTGTTTTCTTTTCCCCAAAATTCCAACAATAGCATAATAATATAGCAATAACAGTTAATTATATCATATTTCATAGAAACAAAAGATGGCTTATTGAGAATCAATTGGGATTACATCAAATGAAAGCACAGATGTTATGAGTGTGTTGTGATAGCATGCTTATCCAAAACTGGCTCTAAATCAAGCTGTTTAATGAAAATTTCATGTTCAATGAGATAATACGTAAGTACCAATTTTTCTTGAGTAGTTATTCAGCTTTAGTGAAGCATAATCCACATACACAGCAGGAAATTAGAGCTATAAGAATACTGACTATATTAAATATAGCTTTAACACCAATTATTTCTTTTCAATCAACCAAAGACTGAAGAAATTCAAGATTAACCCAAATATAATTTTCTAGAGATGCCTTATGAAATGCTAGAAAATGAAACACAAGCAGCAATTTCTTCTCATTTCATAGAAAGCTTGATTTTTCATGATGACAATTTTAGATAAAAAGTTTGAACAAACCCCCACTTCTGCTAATGTTCTTTCATGCTTCTGTTACATACACATGTAAAGGGAGGGAAGTGTAACTTTTTATAAGAAAATGAACATGCCAAAGGGCAAATGTTCAAGAAACTAATAATGAGTGATAAGAAATGGTGTACTATTAGTTGCTTATTATTAGTTTCTTTAACAAGACTAACTGATTCAATTGCTCTTCTGCATACCTGTACAATTAGTACTGTTGCACGTGGTTGCGGCTGTGTGCAACAAACTATGTGTATTGGAATTTGCCAGTGCTTTTAAGGATGAATTCATAACATTCCATAAGAGCCAATTTTTTGATAACAAAAAAATTTAATCACATCACAATATTAAAACTTAATTACTACAGTCGACAGACAATCACGTTGGAGGAAAGTGAGCGACCAACTGCACCGACGACGAGACGTGACTGTGTGTCGTCAAAAGCACTTTCGGTTACAGTTAGTGATAACGGCGCACGGTTGGCGAGTACAACACATGTTTACAAAGTCGCCACAGTACATAAAAAGAGAACCCTTTTTTTTTTTTTTTTTTTTGTCTGTCATACTGTTCAATAGCTCATGATTTCCAAAGACATATAACAGCTATTTTCAGCAGAATATCTTTTCTGCTTGGTAAACCTTTATATAAAATAGTTGCTTTTCCTCTCACAGCTTTTCTGAAGAGTTTTCTTGTAAACCACCATTCTGGAATTTTGATTAAAAGTTTTTTTCCTTTCAGAATATACTGAAAGCATAAAACTTTCCAGTTCATATTAAAATGCCATTATGGACTATTTAGAATTTTACAAACATAAACCTAAATCAATATTCTCTAGTACATTCCAAAGAAATCATCAAAGTTACAAATCAGATGATTTGACGGCAAATGGCTTTTTGGCATCAAAGCTGTAAACAGAAAATAAATATTATTTTAAGACATACATTCAGTTCTTTTTTAGCTTATATCATCAAAAGAAAGATGCTGGCTCACTAACTAATAATACTTCTTATGCATCTAGGATACCAGAGTAATACATCTAAAAAAAATTTCAAATCCAGAAAATCTTGTGAAATTTAGAAATAATGCATGTGTGCACATGTGAAACTATTACTTTAACCACTTGCGCTACGACTAAACTTCACGGTTGCAGTGCCGTGTGCTACAATATAACAAGCAGTAAAAGGTCTCATTTATGCCGCTCCGCATCTGCGAGTGCAATCCAGAGCTGTAACTCCAGAAATAAACAATCTCGTTGTTAGGCGACGTGTGCACCACCGTTATTTTCATTTTTGCGCACGGTTTGAGGCAAAAGTATCTTGACGTGCGTGGCACGTCTTTTTAGCGCAAGTGGTTAAACATAACTGTTAAAATAGCAATAAAAATTATGAAAAATAGCCTACATTTTTACAACATTTATTAGATTTTTCTTCTCCGTTGTTTATCTTCTCAGCAGAAGGACTTTGATTATTAGCTGTCATGTGAAATTCCTAAAGAAAAGAGACGCTGAAATCAAAACTTTTTTCCAAAACAGTTTATGCTATATATGTAGTTAAGTACAAAAAATAGCTACACTGTCAAGTTTATTAAGGATGATTTGAGTCTGCAGAATGATGGTTATGATTTTATTATGTAATTCTACCATTGCTTAGGCTAAATTGTTCAATACTGGAATGAAATTATATTTCTTTTTTACATTCCTCCCTTTCTTAGTTAGGTAATAACAGTTATAACATATGAAATACTACCTCAAAAATATTAAGTGCACAGTAGAATTTCAATTTATTGAACTTCACTAAATCAAAACTTTCAGGAAGTCTAACTGATTGTCAAAATAAATACCATATTTGCTGGCATATAAGATGCACCCCCTTTTTGATACACATTTTTGAAGGATAAAATTTTATCACTGATCATTATAATAAATTTACAGTTTTTAAAAATAAAAGTAATACTTTCTGCAAATACCCAATCTAGTTGGGAAAAAACACCCTTTTAATCTTCTTCATCAAAATCCAGACACTCATCTCCAGAGCTAAATGAAGGATCATTTGAAACCTCTTCTAAAATTAGCATCTGAGTCCTCATATAACAAATTGTCCATTGCACCATCCAGTGCATTACTAATATCACACTTCTCAAATGATTTAACCATTGACACTCACTGTTTTCACAGCATCCCATGAAGCTTTGACCCATTCAGAAACTTGCAAAATGCTAACTCAATAACGCACCTCATTTTTCAGACCTATTTTCAAAGAAAAAAAAGTGTGTCTTATATGCCTGCAAATACAGTAATTTTCAAAATAAGAATATTCTCAATTCTCTGTAAATATTCCTGAATTCTAAAGAAAATTCCCAGATTATTTCTATTTTCAATAAATCGTAAAAACCAATCATGGAAATAAAAAACTGGAATCAGACGGGAATTAACAACTTGTAAATTCAAACAAAAAAAAAAGTTAAATGTCCTACTAATGATTAGCAAATAGCAACACATAGGGTAAACATTTTTGGCATTATTGTCTACTTCAGTGATTACTGCATCTCTGCCAGACAGCAAAGCATTTAAAAAAGTAAAAAAAAAAATAACAATAATAATAAACACGAAAATTGGGGGAATAAAAACTGAATAACTAAAAGCTGCTAACAGCTTCTTCACAAAAATAATGAATGAGAAAAACCAACTATTTTAATTACTTAGGAGCTCTAATAATTAAAGAGGAATTGACAAAGATATATAGAAAAAAGAAAGGCTCAAAATATCTGAAAGGTATTTTATAAAAGATATAGCACTTCAAGTGTTACTTTAAAGCTAAAATTTCCAGCCATCAATCAACTGAAGTCAACTGAAGAATCAAGTAACTGATAAAATTAAATTCATTATAGGGATCGGAAACTTGTTAATTAAAAATCATCCAAGAAAACTTATTAAATTCCTTCCAGAATAAAATGTGTCCATCCAGTTCTTGGCTACAATTATTTTCAATGCCAAACTGTAAGTGAAGCAAGACTAATTCTATAGAAGAAGAAACTTGATTCTAATAGATGTACTCAATATGTATAAGGAATGCCATTCAGTAATACTGATAAAAATTTAGAAGCAGATAAAACTGGCCTGGAAAAGAAAGACAAAAGATGACACAAGTGAAGCTAGTTGGTTAGGCTGCAGATGAGCTAGGAAAGCAGTATTAGACTGCAGGAGATAAGAGATAAAAATTAAGATCTCACTGCAAACTTGGCAAGAAAATATACACCATTTTCAATAATATGGACTAAAATTGAAAACTTAAAACCTTTCAGAATTGATGAAGTTTGCCATCACTGAATGAGGAGAAATTTAAAAAAAAGGAATGAAGAAAGAAAAAAATATATCATTGTCATGTTTTAATGCATTTTAATGCAGTTACTAAGAAAAAGTTGCCAAATGTTTTCTTCAGTTACATTGGTACTTACATATAATCGTATCAAAATCGTGACAGTTGCTTACCATTAAACTATGAAAGTTGATGGAGATCCAGCCAAAATTGCACCAATCGTTCCTGTGGAATTCTGAAATAATTTATGCCTTTTTTTATTTAATAAACAATCTGTATCCCACCCACTTCGTTTCTATGCTTTTGAAAAAGTTTGCATCACTAGTACTGTTTTGTTAGGTGTTCTGATTTTATTGAAAACTCTGTTTAGAATTCAATGAGTACAAACTTCCTACAGGTAATTGTTCCAATCTTTTACTGATTTGTTGACCATATGCAATTTACCATTATCATCTCCATTAATATGCACTTTTTTTATGGTATGACCCTATAACTCCGAAAAAAATCCACTGGTTGCTGTTATGTAGAAGGAAGATCCCAAGTTTAAATTACAATGCAAGGAAAAAAGGCAAATTATTAATTTATATATGGTTGTTCAAACAAAAGGTGGCCAAGAATCAATTGAGGGTTACATCAAACAAAAGTAAGATATTGAAGGTGGGTCATAGTTCAAAGCGCATAACACAAATAGCAAGCATTTTATTCAGATGTGGGTTTTTCAGACAAAACCAGATCTCAAAATAGTATCCAGATTTAACATATAACAAAAAAAACAACTTTTAGCAATGTAAAATACAAATTTTAATTACCAAAAATTGTGTGACAATTAAAAAATAAAACACATCTTCTAAAAATTTTCGTAATTTTTACACTATTCTTCTCCCCAAAGACAAATGATCCGCTTTTGCAAAAAAAAAAAAAAAAAAAAAAAAAAAAAAAACAGAGAATTGCAATTCAACATTTCACAAACCTCAGCAACAGCAGCTATCTTTGAAATGCATCTCTTTATTGTTTCCTTCGGAAATTTTTTAGCAAAATCCTGTATTACTGTAGAAATTTTACAGCAGTTTCTTCCACTGTAGGCAAATTCCATACGCTCATATTTTAAGGCAAAATTATCCTGATTTATTTATAAAAACCTCTGGAACTTAAAATACCCCCCCCCAAAAAATACAAAAATAGTGCATTGCTTAACTAAAGATTGTTATGAGCATGGTTGCCAGTTTGGTATATTTTGAAAATCTGGTGACTTCTACTAAGGTGGCTGCCATAACACATAAGTTTCAACAAAAGAATACCATCATATGTCAAGGGAAAGAAGTATTTTAATCTTTTATATTACTTTGATAAAGCAATTCTGCCAACTTAAATTGCTTTGTATACAAAATTCTATCCTCCTGTAAGAAAATTACAGCTTCTTTTTCAGTTGACAGTAATTTAAATATGGTCAACATTTTAGAGGGAAAATTAATAATGAGTAAAAATGAATCATATCATGAAGACCATAATTCTTATTTTCAACTTTACAGTTACCAGCATTTAAAAAGAAAATAATTAATGAAATAATATCGCATAAGCAAAGGTAAGCATGAAAATAAAAAATGTGGCTAAAAAAAATTACTGCTTCTTTTCTAATTGATCATATATTAAAATGTTAAACATTTTAGAAGAAAATAAAGACTTAGCTCAAACAACCTGAAAATCAAATTTGTTGCACATTAAAAATCTAGGGGTTATATTCACCAAAGCTTGGAGATTTATCTTCTCATTTTCCCAATTAACCGAGGCAGCCGCTTTAATCACAAAGTACCATTATATGCTACATTACATACATATGAATAAATATTAAAATAATTAAAGAAAAAACAAATTTATTTCTAAATGATAGCAGAGAATTTTTTTTAGCTTAGTTAAATATATAAGGTGTCAAAAATGTCATTTATTAACTTAGCCAATAGTTTAAACATTTTATAAATATTATGGATTACAAATAGAATAAATGATATGAAATAGATATTTTACACTGTTCGACACTGAAAATGCGAACCAAGAAGAAATGGTCAGAAATTTATGCAAATTTTAGAGTAGACGCACGTCACTGAGTTATGCGTATGATGTGAAATGCGCAGTTCTCCGGCTCATGTGAAGTAAGATATAAGGGAAGGAACGTGCAGAATGGGCAATATTTGTGTCGTTGTTTCTGCCACACGAATTATCAAAGAAAGTTGATTTTTGTCCCAAAGGATATATGTAATAAAAGAGAATGTCAGACCACCACCAATGAAGGTACTTCCAGCAGCACGCGTGGATCGACACATCCACCAACAAGCCGTCGTGGTCCCGCAAGTCAGTTGTACCGCGATTCTGCAGCACGTGCAAGATACCCTGGATGTTCCCATGTCGACCAGAACCATTTCCCATCGATTGGTTGAACGTGGCCTGCACTCACGGCATCCATTAAAAAGACTGCCATTGACCCCACAGCATAGATGCCAACATTTAAAATGGTGCTGGAGTGGAGTGATATGGATGACAGAATGGCGAAACGTTGTGTTCTCAGATAAGTCACGCTTCTGTTTATCCAGTTACAAGTCGCTGCATACATGTGTGGCGTCAACGTGGGGACAGAATCTAATCCGGGCAGTAACTGTGGAATGCCCCACTGCGCCAGCGACAACATGGCATAATGGTTTTGGTTCGCTACTCCCTACGATTCCAGGTCACCTCTAGTTCATATTCAAAGCACTATGACGGTCCAACAATACTTGGATAATGTAGTGTGGCCGGTGGCAATTTTCTACCTTCAGGAGCTGCCTAATGCAATTTTTCAGCATGATAACGACCGACCACATAGTGCTCGCATCTGCCAACATGCTCTGCAAGATGCTTCACTGGCCAATGTACTCTCCTGACCTGTCACCAATCGAACACGTGTGGGATGTGATTGGATGTCATTTGCAGACTCTGCCCCTGCCTCTTTCAGAAGATGAACCGTGGGAAATGGTTGAAAGGGAATGGAGAGCCATCTCTCAGGAAACCATATGCACTCTTATTGACTCTATACCTAAAAAGCCATTAGCAAGAAAAGCTTTCTTCGTGGATCACAATGTTTAGCAACTTCTCATGCTTAGAAAGAAAAATATGTGCATGCATGATGTGTTGCCACTAAAATGAAAAAAATACCAAATACCATACATAAGAGTAAATTACAAATCATTTTAATACTTCAGAAAGTTGGAAATAAAATAATCAAGAAAGTAAAACATCACCTAATTATTGGTGCGGTGTTGGTGTATTTAATTATGGCAAAGCACACGAGGGCTATCTGCCTAAGGGAAGGGATGCCTTTGTGGAGGACTTTCTAAGGAAAACTGGCTCATATACACGTTACACATGGAGAAAACTACGAAACGCCCATGCAGCCAGCCCGTTCGCGAGATTTGAACCTCGGACCGAACTACCAGTGTTCCATCTAACAATTACTAAAGAACTTTCATGGATTGCAAGAAATATTGAATGTTGCTACTAAGATGACTATTAGAAGGAGAAAACTACTAAAAGTAGTTTATCAAAATATAAAGATAAAAAAATGAATGTTAATGCAATAGAGCATTAATGATTCACTATATAAGGAAATTTGCAATAGTATTAGAGCTCAACACAACTTTTATTTCATATATAAAATAACTGTTACAATTTTGCTTATCATTAAAGTAAAAATTTAATCTTGATTTGAATTTCCTCAAAGAATTTTGCAAATTTTAGAAATAATGCGCCCCAGCTTTCAAATTTAGATTTTCTTCTTGGGATGAGTTTAATTTTGTTTAATAGTAAAGATTTAGCTTTAACAGTCAACGTCAATAACAATAAATATTTAACAGTTAATGTTAATAAAGAATAAATATTTTTATTTTTTCTAAAATCTTAGCTGAGGTGCAACAATGCAATTTGAAGTTTTCGGAATACAAGTTTTTAAATTTTCTTTTTTTTTCACAATCATACTCTCTTTTCATTTATTTATTATTTTTTTTTAATCTGATGCTTTCAAAGCATACCTGAAAGAACTATTTAATTTTTGACATTTACTTGTATTTTAGTTATTCATCTGATTAATAATACTGAATCCTGGGTAACAATTTGTAAAAGTATTTCTTTACAATATTCTTTATTTTTAGACATGCAAATAAACATAAAAACATTTAAAGGACAATTTTAATAAATAATCATAAGATTTATCTATAATCATTGTCAAAGCTTTTTATTACGCTGTGTTATGCTATGTACTTTTATCCTATATGGTTACTAAGTGATTCTGTATTACAAAGGGGGGGGAACAAAGGAATCAATGAACATAGTGACATTAAAAGCCAAATGAAAAAAAAAAGTAATGCAAATGTTAATTTTGATGATATTAAAAACAGACTAACCCTGGAGGTAGAAGAATTTGGCTCATTTCCAAATAGACCACCCATATGACCCTCTGTGGGATTTAATGATGGATACAGGAGATCCTCTGTGGGAAGTAATGATGGATACAGAACATTTGTAGAGCTAGAGGATTGAGCTTGGCGGGAATAGGCCATGATAACTTCAACTAAAACTGATTTCTCTCTGAGATCACCACAAGGCACATTAATATCTTTGGTCTCAAGGAACCATTGTAAGTCTTTCAGTTTTAAACTTGCTACATCATCACAATTTAAAGGCACACACGTCAAAATTTTACATCTGTAACATTGATAGAGCTTGTTTTTAGGCGTTACACAGTCTGAGCAGAAAATATAACCACAATCTTCACACTTTCTCTGAAAAATAATGAATAAAAATTTATTAAAATTTTTTAATTCAAAAGCTCAAGAATTACTTATTTTTATTAGGAATGAAATTCATATAAATGATACATTTTTGAAAATTAGGATTTTTCCACATATTCAATTTTCTCAAAGCAGAATAAAGGGTACAAAAAGTTAGATTAACATACTACTCACTTGAACACACTGGACAAATATGTAAATATAAAAAGATTGGATACAATAATGGTAACAATTGTTTTCAAACTGTTTACGAATGTTGCGTCAGATCAACGATATATCTATGTGAAATGTTTCGGTTTGAGATGTGTGCCAAGCATATATGCAGCAATGGAGCCAAATTACTGATCGTACAAATTTATGCTAAAATGATTGTTTCTTCAATAACAAGATATTTTATTTAATGTGGAAGTGAAATTAATAATCGAGACTCTCCAGATGTTTCATTATGCACGGAAGGGGGAATAAAATGCGCTTGCCTAAAGCCTGATTTTGGATTATTCCGGATGATGGACGTCCGGATTTTGGACTTTGTACTGTATCATGAGATTGGCGACGAAAGACAAATTGTTATACTAAATTTTGCCTTGCTTCTATCGCATACTGAGACAATTAAGCCTGATTTTTATTAGTTTAGTTATTTATTATATCTACGTCTATTTCTTGCATATGCTTAAGGCTAATCTGAGCACATGCTAAAGACTAAATTTCACAAAAAAAATTTTAGGCACACTCATAAAAATGTATGCTGAAAAGTCATACTAGATTGAGTGTCTTTAAAATAATTAAATTTCTATGAACACTAAGAAAGCTAAGATCTATTTGATATATCAGAGAGCAATAACTACTGGTACTTAACATATTAACTAATACCTATACTTCCTTAGTAAATTTGCCAATAATTTTCTGTCTGATTGTTTAGAACAAGATGTAATTCTAATAATCTTCAGTTAGCTTTTTTTTAAAAACTTGCATTTGCTTTGACTTATTATGCTAGTTATAAAACCTCTTTCCCCTAATCTGTTCTTTGAACAGAATTCTGTTGAACAGTTAAGAACGTTCAGATTCTTATATAATGAAATTATGCAAAACAAAGTAGAATTGCAGTAAAATGGTGACTAAAGAAATTACACGCAGTCATTTAACATTTATAAGAGCTGTACAATTAATTTACTACCAGGGCTGTGGAGCCGGAATCGGGCAGATTTTGAAGTAAAAGGAGTCGAGGCTGTAGTCACTAAAAACAGATCGACTCTGACTCCAGTTTTTGTTGGACAGTTTGAATTTGAAATGAAATTAAAATGCATTGAAAAAAATTAATGACAACCTGAGTTATTATTTTTATTTATGAACTATATACATTAATAAATAGTTATTTTCTATTTTATTGACATATTAATAAATAAATATAAGGGAGGAGGATGGATGGGATATTTGCCATTAGTGATTAAACTGATTCATTTAGTTTCTTCATTTAGTTACAAATCTCACTGGTAAATTTAGGTCGGTAAGCAGCAGCAAGAAATCCTCAAAATTGGATGGTCATTCTTAGGAAGTGCGAGTAAGAACAAGGAGCAATTATTGATCAAGCAAACGCAATAAGGAAGTACATATTTGACGATAAAGAGGTTGTTAGAATTAAGAACTTTTTTAGAAGATGTAGATAACCCTAATGTTTCACGAACAGAAAGACTGTGGAATAATCTTGCACAGAATTGGAAACTCTTCTTTCTACACCGTATTTAGCCTACAAAAAGGCTGCACAATCTGAAGAATTGACAAGAGGCAAAGAATGGAAGAATGTGAAGTTTGTTCTTTCTGAAATGGAGGGTTTATTGGAGAAGGAATCATTTCTTCAATGAAGAAAAGAGAAACTAGCTTGCCTAGACAATGAGATCTTGCTGGGTTCAATAGATCCGAAACACCAAATTTTCTTGGATGATGAGCAAATTAAAAAGGCAAAGAAAGCCATCTATGAACTTTCATTAAGAATGAAATTATTCTCAGAACAATTGCCGAATTTGAATCAGGACAGTCAAACTGCAGACATTGCAATTGAGTCGCTACCATCCTCATCCAGTAATAAATTAGATTTTGAGCAATATTTTTGGATAATGTTGAAAAGGCTAAAAGAAAGCGAATGAAAATAAAGAACCAAGAATCTTTCGATATAAAAATTAAAAAATACAAACCAGATTTCTACACGGCCTTTGAAGAAATAGAGAATTATGACTGCGCTTGCAAGACACCTGTTTTAGAACTTATAAAAGTCTATCCTGAAAAGTTAAAAGAAGTAGCCCTACCAGGAACAGAACAGCTGTTCTTCTACTCAAGTTAGTGTGGAAAGTTTCTGTTCTCAGCTCTGAAGTTTATCAAATCGGATCTATGGCCCTCCAACAAAGAAGATCTTGCCGAAGCTATACTGTTTCTTAGAAATAACTAATGCCAGTTTTTCCATTCCATAATAAATGCTAATTAATATAAATAATTTGCTATGCCATCAATATTTTTTCCTGTAGCATCTATCACTTCTTTTATATTAAAAAAATGGAGTCGGTTATATTCCCTACCGACTTCACAGCCCTGTTTACATCACTCAAATACTGCAGAAAACTGGACATAAGAAAACACATCGTAATAATCTGCAACAATTACTTTCAAGAAGCATTCTAATATACTGCTATACAAAAGAAAAGCAAATTAGCTAATCAAAGTTACATTAGCATAGGTTCAGATAACAAGTACCATTTTATTAAATTTCGATGAAAATAAAGTAGCATAAGATTTATTGGTAAAATCCTAGTATACGGTGCAGACTTGGCGCGATTTTGAAAATTATCGCCAACACCAAAAATGACCCAAAGAACGTCTATGTATATACTATACACTATATATATTCTTCGAATGACCCGTTTACTACTCATCGTATATGTTTCGTTTTTACTGCTCATCATAAAGTCGCCAAAAGAAGCCAAATCCTGTATGCACCGGATACTAGGATTAAACCGATTTATTTGATATATTATAAATAATTATCCAATAAATACACCACGAATTTAATATTATCATTTTTTAGTACTTCTATACACAAAAACAAAACCACTTATTGTTTCTAGCATAGAAAAAATATCAAACTTGAATTATTATCAGAATGATTTTGGCAACTTTCATGAAAGTTAGCAAGTATTATGCATGTGCATATAAAAATATTCAATTCTCATCAATTTAAAACTACCTTAAATTAAAAGGACATAATCTATGATAGTATCCTCCTTCCTTTATAAAGTGTGATACAAGTGAAGTTTGCTCTCCAAACAAATAAATTATCTCACTTTTGTTGCTAAAACAATTCAATAATTTAATATTACTTGTGATTTTCATAAAAGTACTTTTAAATCACTCCTGTGCGACTTTACAAGCACAGGCCAATTAAACACTACAGTATGTTGTTCAAGTAAAATAAACTGAATTTATTTGCTTTCACGACAAAATAATTTACACATATTATGATTAAAAAATTTATATACTGTTAAATTCAAATGAATGACATACCTTTCGTTTCAGTATCGTAAATTTGATACTACATCCTTCACAGGCCATTCTTGTACAATAAAAGGTGATCACATTAGATTAAAATCTAAAAGATGAAAATTACCACAGTTCAGACTATAATAAGAGAAATAAATAAATAATAAAATGTTAAAAAGTTCAGGAAACAGTTATTTTTATTACAGATAAACAGAAAAATTCATATAGGGAAGTACTTCTTAAACTACAGAATAATATTGAGGAAACACCGAACATACACATCTTTCAAAACAGAACTATTGAAGCTAATAAGGGTGTACAATTCAAAGTAATAAAATTTATAATACTGAACTGAAACTACGAATCTGAAACTTATTGCTACTTATTTCATATTGTTGGCAATGACATATGATGCAATAACTTTTACCAAGAAACAAAAGTAAAGACAAATATAAACAATACGTGCATGACAACACAGAAGTTGAAGTTATTACCGTAACATAACGAAACGCTGCCGCACACATGTAACTCAACTATATGCCCACAATCTCGAAAATCCCAACACAACACTGAAAGTTGATTGGACACCAGCATAGGAATTTGACGTCATTTCTCAACGTCATGAATGAGGGAAGGTAACCAAAGAATACTGCTACCGTTTCTCGGCCCTTTTGGCTAAGATCAAAAATGTAGTGTTTTACTATTTGAAATTATTAAATATGAAATTAACTATAACCTGTCCTTTGAGAAGGTCACCCATGATTTGCTGAGCAATTGTGGAATTAGCTTTGAAACATCCTACATGCTCGTTTGCATGCTTCCTACGAACAGTTTTACCATTCATTGGCCAGAATTACGTATTAAAGTAAATAGTGAGGATGACAATTAAAATTAATTTTCTGATAATAGCTCACAGTCGAAAAGGTTACTTTATGACTCGAAGGTAATAAGGAGATATTTCCGGTAATGTTCGGAGAACAACCTTGATGGCTACATTTGGAACATTTTATTGCGCCAGCGAAAGTAAATATTCTACAGCCAGGAAGAAAGGGAAAATATCTAGGTAAAAGGAATAAAAGAAGTACTTCCTTACATCTGGCATTTGAATAATCGTTTAGATCTGCTATCTAGCGAAATTTGTTGCAAAAATCAACTAATGTGCTTTTATGCCAAAAAAGTAGGGAAATTACTTTTGGATCCTAGTTCATACGTGTTTCCAATCAATCATGTGGCGACATCATTTGCCATACTGAAGCGCCTTCTGAAACTCTTCTCATGAGACTTTTCTTTCGCAGAAGTGGCAAAAAAAAAAAAAAAAAAAAAAAAAAAAACTGAAATGTTTCAGATTTTAAATTACGTCCAAAGGGGCGTTTTTTAACATTTTGTGTGTTACCTTTCTTTATTAAATATCATGTTCCTCGCACTTAAACCATAAGATCCAGTGCAACAGCAATATCGCAAAATAGTTTTAAAACGAACATATCTTTAGAATTTCCGATACAGAGACTCACGCGCTGGAGATAAAAATGTTTTTTCTGCACAACGTTGCCATTGCTCGCTTTGAAATCCTTGAGTTTGTTAATCAAAAATTCGTCAAAGTTTTAAAAAATAGGAAATCGATCATAAAACAAATTTCAAATTTCAAATTTGGTCTTCCACATGCTCATATTCGTTGGAGGATTACGTCATTCAAAATTCGATGACTCTATGTACCGTTGTTTTATCACAATACGAGAAATATAGATACATTTATGCAGATTTTTCATTATTTAATTTCTTCAAATATAATGCAGGACTCTAACATTTTGTGGCAACAGTTTGAAAAGTGAACCGACATTTATGAGTCTGACGCAAAATGCCAAAACGAAACTAATAGTCCTTCGGGATTCAAATCCATTTGGACTAAAAAGACTGTTCGGAAGATAAACATTCATTTGAATTTCCTTTTCAAAAGGTTTACTTACCATTTGTTTCAATCCTGTTTTCTCGTTAATAAAATTGTTTAAAGAAATTTGTAAGCAAAACGTAAAGCAGGTTCAATCGTAATAGCATTTGCTAAGAGCCTTGATCAGTAGGACCGCATTCGGGAGGATTAATTGGGAAAATAAGTTTACAAAAGAGAACGCCGAAACTGCATCAGAGAAATCACCAGTTGCCAAGATAAATCTAAAAATTCCTCGTTTTTGGAAACCCAACTACAAATTATGGTTTCTTTAGGTCGAAGCCCTATTCCTCGATGCTGGAATTACAGCTGATCAAGCAAAATACGATTATATAGTCAGTTCGATTGGAGCAGGGACATTGTCATAAATCGCTGATATTCGCATCCAAGCACAACACAACAGCAAATACCCGGCAATTTAAAAAAGGCTTACTGAAATTTTGCTGATTCTGAAACAACGAAAACTCAGAAAAGTCTAACCGAATTAGAAGTGGGTGATGATAAATCATCCCAACTTTTCTACGAAATGCGCACGTTGGCGGCTGAGCAAGTGCCGGATGAATTTTTGATAACACTGTGGATTCAACGACTTTTATTTAATATGTGGAGCATTTTAGGAATTAAATCCCCATCCACTCCACGTAGCGCGCATTGTTTCCCCACCATCTGATAACAAACTTGACGTTGCAGATATCAGAAATGAATAGGCGTAAAAATTCCAGTCCACAAAGACGAAGATACAGACTGCATTCAAGAAATCGTTTCAAAATAAGAGTGACCCAAGTAACTGTTATTAATGCTTTGGCGAGAGAGCTTACAAGTGCACCTCGCCATGCAAATACCAGGCTTCGAAACAGGAAAACTTAATCCCCGACTTTCGGTGACGACCAAAAGTCAAAGGGTCCAGCTGAGGCGTCTATATATTCGTGAAAATGCATCAGCAGCCCGTTTTTCAATTGACACTGGAGCAGAAATATTGGTTATTCCAGGATTTTTTCAACCATAGATTTGATTAGAGCCTACAAACAGATTTCTGTTCGTAAAGCTGATATTCCGAAGACCCACCATCATAATACTTTCGTACTTTTTGAATTTCATTATACGACATTTGGTCTACACAACCAACATTGACTCTACTACAGTCTGAATTGACACAACGCTGCACGAACCTTCCAAAGGTTTATGAACAGACTGCCTAGCGGCCTAGACTTTGTATTCTTCTATCTCGACGACCTCATTTCCCTCCAAACACTGAAACACACCAAAAGTATCTTGAATTAATCTCCCAAAGACTCAATAACTACGGACAGTGCATAAACACTGTAAAATGTAAATTTGGTCTGAGCAAAGTTTTTAGGTTATGAAATACTAACGGAAGGAATCAAACGTCTTCCATTGTCGAAAGTCGATACAATTAAGCAATATCCTAAACCAGAATTCGTCCCAAACTTGCGCAGATTTTTGAGAATGATGAATTTTTACCTTCGCTTTATACCTAACTGCGGCAAACTACAGTAACCATTGATAATCTTACTTAAAGGAGTGGAGAAAAAAGCAAGAAACCTTTAATTTGGATCGAAAATGCGCAGAAAGCTTTTTAGCGATATCAGAAGCTCACTTTGCAACTCAGTAAAATTAGTTCACCCCAATCAAACGGCACAGATCACCCGAACTACAGATGCATCTGATTCCGCCGTGGGTGCCATGATCCATCAACTGCAACTGTGAGCACCAAGTTTATACATTTATTTTTAATTAATTTTTTTAGAGTTATTTAAACCTTTCTTCTGCACTAGTTGTTCTTAAAGAACTAGTGAAAATTCGCTACTTCGTCTTCGACGTAGAGTGAACATTTTATATTACCAAAGAATACTGACGCCCGAAAAAGTTTAGGACAATGGAAAATCTCTACAAGTGACCTGGCCCTATCCACACCTGCAACACAGTCGACTCACGCCTAACCTATGGAAGACTTTGGCTACATTGTTGGCCCATGAGAGCTTCCATGAGGCTCCAGTGCCTATTTGATGGAAAAGGTTCAGCAGCAGCATTTATGGACCAGCTGGAGGACCACTTCATTTTGTAGCCAGTGGACGAAATCCCAAAAGTGGCAGTTTTGATTCCGTTGTCTGAAGGCAAGCCTTGTTTTGGTGTAAAGGTAACGGCACATTTTTACTTGAGGAACCAGGCATGCTAATGCACACATATCAAAACTTCAAAACCGCCCTTCTAAAAGCCTTTCCGGTCTTAAATAATCATGCGCGGTTAAGAGGCTGTCACTTTTAGGGACCATTCCGAGAAACGAGATTCTAGAACCATAAATTCTTTTTAGCATAAATTTGGATGAATCATTCGTGTTAGAAATATTTCCCTCCAGATTAACTTCAGTTTTCTGAAGTACAACATATATAATGTATTGGTGCGTTATTTTCACACGATGATCATTAAGATGTAAAGTGGGAACAGCATTGGTTTTCAGCACCCTTTTAGAAGTTGAACCAAGCAATTTTGAATTTAGATCTCGTATGTAGTTATCAGGTGTAAAATGAAGCGCACATATTCTTGCATTTTCGATGTTGGAATTATATCTGCTTTAGCGAACAATCCATAACTTACGAAGTTCTGGATCACTTGGAAAACGCTGGTATGTGATACCCTGACTTCTAATTTTTCCTTCTAAATTCTGACATAACGATACAGCACAATTTGCAATTTCTAACCAGGTATAATAGCAAATCAACAACACAAATCAAATGAAACTGTTGATGCAACGATTGTAAACAAACAGCAAGAACTAACAACTGTCACTCACATGACATCATGCGCACGCGGCATAATTTTCTCCCGGCACTACGCATTGCTCTTGGGCCAATCAGACGAAAGTTCTGCTTCTGAAGGGTCACGTGTAACTTTCTTCAATATGGTCATGGACAGTGTAAAAAAGAGGCCGATTTAATTCAAGAAGTAAAGAAAAAAACCATATTAATGGACATAAAGCACCCATATTACACAAAAAAACCTAAAAAAAGTCGGAAAGTATGAAGTAAAGATGCCTGGCATATGCAGGAAACTTTCAGTACGGTAAGTCAAAAATTTATCTATCTATCTATCTATCTATCTCTATATATATTGCTGTTTTGTTGTAATGTAACTGCCTGAATCATTTAAAAAAATTAAAATATATATATAATAATGGAAATTTCAGAGTTGACAGTATTTTACGACGTTCTTGCAGTTCGGATTTGTTTACAAATTGTTCGTCGCCAAAAGTTCGCCAAATTTGTCGTATTTGTGCTGATCGTGTATTATCACTGTTATATAATAGAATTTTAGGCTAAAGTGCAGAATCACCCTCTTATTTGTTTGGCGTATGTTTGGTGCTTAAAAACAAGGGGCGCCAACAGTAAACTTTTACCGGCGCTTTTTACAAGAGTAAGAAGAATTGAATTTTTGTCAATTTTCTTTCAAAGTGAAAATAGGTCAATGTGTACATGGATAAAGTC